AGCTAGTAAGAAACTAAACACCCACCAATTCCTAATGATTTATTCACTAATATCGACCTATATATTCCATACTAAGTTTCATCTAGGTCTTAGCTATTTATTAGTTTTACTTAGTAATATTTACAACGAACGATGAATCATTTAAATGTATTCCCCTAATAACTTAGTAACTATAGTTTGAATCCCCCCCTTCCTCTTTCTTCGGGTGGTCACTTAGATTATGAAGACTTCGATATCTGAAGGGAAGCACGGAATACAATGGACAGCATGGAGTCAATAAGATTTGAACTTCATAGATGACCTGGCCTTTCTATCCCATACACACCAACAAATACATGTGAGGAAAGCCGGTGTAGCAGTAGCCTCTACATCAGTAGGCCTCAACATACACAAAGGAACGAGCAAGATCCTGAAATACAATACGAAAAACACCAACCTGATCACACTTGAAGAAGCCCTGGAAAATGTGGAATTTTTCACATAGCTAGGAAGGGTCAGCTACAGACGTAAAGGCGAGGATTGGCAAATCAAGGACCGCACTCCTACAGTTGAAGAACATATGGAACTCAAAACAACGGTCAACCAATATCTAATTCAGAATCTTCAATACGAACGTCAAGACAATTATACTGTACGGAGCTGAAACGTGGAGACCACTACAACCATCATCAAAAATGGTACAAGTATATATAAAAACAAATGTCTACGCAAGATAGTCAATGTCCGTTGCTGGCCGGAAACCATCAGCAACAGCCTACTGTGGGAGAGGACAAACCAACTCCCAGCTGAAGAGGAAATTGGGAGAAGACAGTGGAAGTGGATAGGACATACGTTGCGGAAATCACCGAACTGCAACACAAGGTAAGCGCTAACTTGGAATCCTGAAAGGAAACGAAAAAGAGGGAGGCCGAAGAACACGCCGGGTCGGGAATCGGAAGCAGACATGAAATGGACAAATAGGAACTGGAAACAAATGGAAATTATTGCCTAGGACAGGGTTGGGTGGAGAGTACTGATGAGCGGCCTATGGTTCTCGACGAGGGGTAACAGAAATAAGTGATGTGTAACTATAACAATGACTTCACTAGAATGATCGATCAATATAATATTGTCGGATATATGCATGAATACGATAGAACTACCGATAATTTTAGTTGTTAATCTATGTATTATTACTGTCATTATCACTTTATTCTACCACTTTGCTTTATTAATAATCATCTTATCATAATATTTCAATATAGATAAATCGAAAGTTGCTTTCTTATCAACAGATGATATATTTTAACGAAATAATTGCCGAGAAAACGGGACACATACATCACTTAAGTTTATTGTTTCTGTTATTATTACGAAATTGTACTATGAAATTCGTGAACCGTTCTTCTCGTAGGTACACTTGCGCACCTATTAATAATAAGGGGAGATTGTTATGCTATGAATACACACAGCGTTAAATTAACTGATGTCAAATAATGGATTCTAGTATATTGACTAAGTAATAAATTCCTTCATTATGGTCATAATAAAATTGGTTGATTGTTTGTTTTTCATTAAATGTTAAGCTATAATTTAACACGTACCGGCAAGAATTAAGTCTGAAATATCTTAACTTTATCGCTGGTAACTAACCCGCAAATTTCGTATCATACTTAAATGACTTCTTGGTTTGTTGTTCCGTCTTTTGATGACAATTTACTTAGGCAAATTGAGCCAATAAGCATGGTTATGTAATTAATAGTTAACTGCTCATATTATTCACAGTAACCCGGAGAACTTGTCGACTTAACACTGGATGACCTCAAAATTTTTGAAAATTCGTAATCGGTTGAATTGGAATATTAAATGATTAAATGAAATCGTCCATCATAAGGTTTACAAGTCCATTGACTTTTTGGATAAAAAGTTTTCCTCAACACGTCAGCATACTTTTTAAATTGGGAGTTGACCTTTCTTTTTTATTCTTTCGAGACTAGCCATTTAATAAGAAAATAATAGTAATCTTACTCTTTGTAAATTTACTATCTTAACGTATTCATTATAGCTTGTTTCGTAAACTGCAACAGGATCAGTAGGTTAAACATTTAAGGTATCTCTATTATTGTTAAATAGACTACCCTGACTCTGGAAGAAGATATAGTATGGATACACCCAGGCCACTGCAAACGATTTTAGGCCGTTTCAATCAACATCGCTGACCACACAATCATATAGTAGAACGGAGAAAACTGCATCACAGTAAACTTAAGCGTTGATCAGGAGACAGACATCTTGTTCAGTGCACAAATGACGCACAACAGCGAAAGTCAACCTAGATTTTCGAATGAGATTGTCCTAGACCCCCCAAATGCCATGTTACAGTCGAGAGTAGGGAGAGTCCGCTCTCCCTCTCGAAATGCTCTCATATGGCCACGCATATATAACCACTCCCAGGGAAGTCCTACTCACTGCCTTCTCGCGACAGGGGTGTTGTTTACGAAATTGAGAGGATGAAAAGCGAATGTCCGGCACTTTAACCGGGTTGGTGGACACGGAGTCCACCTAGGGGAGTTGAAAAACCCTGATTCCAAGCCAGTGGTGCACATGGGCTCCATTGTCCTGAGGGAACGAATGACATATGAACCAATTGTTGGTCACCGGCGACCATGGGACTACATCTCCTTACGATGTTCCACTGCCTTGTGGGTTAGACCATTAGGTCAAAGGCTCCGGGTGTAGCCCTAAGAAAACGGCCTTCTTCGGTTTGGGCACCCGGACCGTATCCCAACCCTCACACAAATCGAATGACTAATGTGGCGCTCACCTATTTGATGCCTCTTTGTACCAATGTTCATGTGTTGAAATAAAGACACCGAACCCATCATGCCTGCTTAGGCTTTCAGGATAAGTGAAAGGAATGACACACTCAATTACTTCACTTCCAATGATTAGTCCAGGCATGGACTAAAACCAATTCTGGAGCAAAATTTTGCATTTTGGGGTGTAGAGAAACGCATTCCAAACATGCTAGCAGTCTTGCTTGAGATGGTCAGAAAAGCCTATATATTTTCAAGGTCTTTACCAAACAAGACTATAATCTGAGTAACATAAGTCAGCAAGTGAATCTCCTGGTAGATCAACCACTGGAAATTCAATTAAGTAATGTCCAGACTAATCAAGTAACTATGACGTCCACCTAGAGTACATAGGGCAAACATAAAGGAGGATGATACTTAAGTAACAACAATTTGGTGAGTTCCTTTGTATATTTTTAGTGAGTAGTGACTAAGTAGTTGCTTTATAATATTGTCAAATCCTCCCAATTGTAAGTTATTATCTTGGTTATTAAGTGTAGCTACATTTTTTATCTTTCATTAATTAGAGTCGATTGAATATTCGACATAAAGCTCTGCATCAAAGACGTCCTATTGATGAAATTATCAAAGTTAATAAAATGTGATTTTCTTTTAGTTTTACATTTTACTTATTATTCTAGAAAAAAGGCAATTGCTACCACTCTTTTGACCCTCTGATTGGAGGTTTAGAAAACTAGGAATTAGCACGGTGAATCGATCGTGTGACGAGTATATTTTAAAAAAAATTAGTGGAGTAGGCAAGAAAACGGAATAAAGCCATAGAGATATGATGGAATTTGGTTTACGGGATTAGTAAAATAGACAACTTTAACCGCCAGATTAGATCATTGATTTCGAATAAAAACTGAACATAATGCGGAAGTAGGACAGGAAACGCCACTACGCGGGAAAGTAAGACGATATCCATAGTCCCAGTACTAGAAAATAATCATAAATACCAAAGTGCTCACTAATGTACTTCAAGAAACATATCTAATTATGAACACATTCCTAAATGGTCATGAAATCTTTCTTTTTTCGATAGCCACAGTAGTAAACACTAAACGTTTAAGTGCCTTTATAGCGTGTAAGCTGGTATTTTTGTAGCTATCATACTATATTCACATCCAGGTACAAGGGGGCACCAGATACATATGCGCCACACAAATCTCATTTGATTTGTATGAGGATTGGGATACGGTCCGGGTGCCCAAACCGAAGAAGGCCGTTTTCTTAGGGCTACACCCGGAGCCTTTGACCTAATGGTCTAACCCACAAGGCAGTGGAACATCGTAAGGAGATGTAGTCCCATGGTCGCCGGTGACCAACAATTGGTTCATATGTCATTCGTTCCCTCAGGACAATGGAGCCCATGTGCACCACTGGCTTGGAATCAGGGTTTTTCAACTCCCCTAGGTGGACTCCGTGTCCACCAACCCGGTTAAAGTGCCGGACATTCGCTTTTCATCCTCTCAATTTCGTAAACAACACCCCTGTCGCGAGAAGGCAGTGAGTAGGACTTCCCTGGGAGTGGTTATATATGCGTGGCCATATGAGAGCATTTCGAGAGGGAGAGCGGACTCTCCCCACTCTCGACTGTACCATGGCATTTGGGGTCACTCACTTATGAAACGGGAAGGAATTTTAAATTAATGTGTAGTCGTTTGGATGGAAATTGATACGTACATCCAAATAGCAATCCGCGAATACAACAAAATGCACCGCACAGATTACATTGCTATCCACTTATATTCATCCGACATAAGATTGTGTCATAATGGCCAAATCGACGGAATCCACACAGGACACATAAACTCCAACAAAGACTGGCCAAATCTCTTAAATCTTAGTTCGAAGGTGAGATGGAAGCGGAAACTCATGCAAACCCTTCCCATTAAATCTTCCAAGATAGAATAGGGTAAACTAGACAGTAAGAACGACTTGAAAAAAAGTAGATTTACTTTATTCAACCAAGTTATCACTATTGGGTTGATTATAACACAAATCTGAAAATTAGAAACAGTGCATGCACAATAATGTCGCGGTACAACCAAATACAATTCTAAAACGGAGCATGACAATAGAAACAATGATGAAACTTGAAATAAAAGATGTTTAACATACAGAAAACTCTCGAATCAGTGTTACATTAAAAGTTGAGTAGACCTAATACAAAACAGCTCGCCTTGGAGGCATTGGTAATCTTTGATGATAGTTTGTTACAGGCATGGGAATATGATCAACCTTCTTATCCGAAAATGAGTTGGAGCTAAAATTGCCAGACGATTTATTTGCAAAAGAAAATACATTATATGCGTTTTCTTGAAGATTGTAAGAAATAGGCTCGGAAACAGACTCCTTTTTATTCCATTGTTTTCCAAACTCACAGGGAGTCAAATTCATTTCCCTTAAACTTTGACTTGTAGAAACGATCCTAACAATGGTTATTAATAGTGTAACACAACCAGCAAACACAATAGGGACAGCTGAATATGATATGGACAAATGAGCATGCCGTCCATCACTAAGCTGAGTGATACAAACACCTGAAACAATAAGAACGAAACCCAAAAGGACAGTACAAAAGCTTATGACTAAAAGAACTTTCTCAGGAGCACAGACGCTCAGGTAATCGGTTAAACATGTTCCAGAATTTCCCATTATAGAAACATCTTAGTGAGATGGTTTGAGATCTAGATTAGTAAATGCAGTAGAGTTACGTGATGTGAATGCAAGAAAACGCTAGTGAACAAAAGTACAAAAATACAGAGACCGTAAATGTATGCACATGACGACGGAGATAAATGATAGCGTCAGGTTCGTCAAGCACTAACTAGTTTCTGAAATAATTATTTAGAGACCCATTAATTAAACTTTGAAGCAAACGCTTGGATGTAAAGCTTAGCTTTAAAAAATACGGGATATATATGTTGCTTGTATAAATTATCTTTTTTGTCTGATAAAGAATGATACTGCTAGGTACTTTGTAAACAAAAACAGCACTGTGAGTGTTCAGACATTTTCTAACATGATAAGGGTGTATTTGAACATCAATTGGCCCGCAGAGTAGAGTGGGATTTGGTTTGTTGTCTAGAGAATACAAAGACCAGTTACTAGGCTTTTAATGTTGATAGCCGGTTGAGAGGTTTTTATGTCCATCTAGACATTCAAAATAAAATAATGTACAATGTTAACACATACTTGAGATTAAGTTAGTTTAGTCAATGGTTCCATAAGATAGGCCAAAAGCTTATGGAGTCATTGTAATTTTTTAAGATGGTCCGATGTACATACATTTATGACTGCTGATTTACAAAAAAATGTTATGTGGTCTGAATGTCAAAGAAACACAATTAGTATAAAACCACTTACGAACCAAACTTCTTAACCACCTATAGAAACAATAACAAGCTGACAAGTGAAAAACGCTAAGGACTACCTCGATTTTTTCAAGCCGACTTTTATGCAGTGAAGACATAGAATCTGTTGCAAAGCAACCAACGAGTCGAACATTTACGATTTTTATGTACAGGTTTTATTAAACCCACAGTCGAATTTTATTTTGCTGTACATGTTCACTGAGGATGTCAGCCTGTCCCAAAGCTGATTAAATTTACAAACGTATTAGTAAATCGTCTCGTGTTACTTTTACGGTTTTCGCAAATGGCTGAAAAGTTGGTGAAATCTTACCAACATTAACGTCATTAATAATTATTAATGACGACCTCCGACAATATTGTCTGATGTCGTTTTAGAACATGTTCGAAAAACACCTGAAATTTTATGTCATCGGGATATAATCAACTACAGTTGTCAACACAAGATTACTATTCTTTAGTGTCTAAAATAATCAAGCGAGTACTTTGGGTTCCTTTTGGTACACATAAACGTGGCGATCTTATATGGTTGGTTAATATAAGATCGCCACGTTTATATGTGAGGACTGAAACAGAAGAACAAGCCGGTGAACATCATTAAGAATAACAAACAAGACCTAATGCATTCAACCTGACATTTACATCAAATGATGAAGCCAAATAAGAAACGAGACCATGGATGTAAAATTAAATACGACCCTACGACCTTGAATGGCTTTATACAAGTCAGACGTTACGTGCTTGATGTGCTCGAGGTTGGCTAGACGCATGTTAGCTTGCATGAGTCCCCATTTTTCTCACAAGTGAGTAGTCTGTTGACATCTAAGAGCCCAGTTAAGTCGCATAAAATCATTTTCAGTATGTTACCTTTCTGTTTTAGTGTTAAGAGTAATTTTCCATCCGGAAGCTGCAGCTCTAACCGCTTCGGTGAAGATCGTATTAGATTTAGAAAAGAACGTCATACTGATAAATAAAATGGCACGTAATCCTATGGACTGTTTATTTGGGTTGGTAGGAAAATGTCTTGCGCTATGTGTCAAGCTTCCAGTTCAAATGGTTTTGGACAGAATAGAAGAAGCTTCTGTTTAACGGGCTTCTGTGTCTAGTAGCAGTGGATCATTAATACCTCCAGGCAGGAACCTAGGTATATCAACGATATTAGCGGAAAAAGAAACTGTCAAATCATAGTCAGATGCTATTCACAGTCCTTAAAAACATTTCAAGTTTTTTTCCTAAAGGACTCCTAAGAAGTCGCTTGGACTAGCTCATATGGCAGCGAATTCCACTACTTGACAACCCTTAGGGAGTAGAGGTTGTGCCTACAGTTCGCTCTGTCGAGCTATGTCTTCACTTTCTGGGCGTCACCCTTAAGGTTTGTATTGGAATTAAAGTTAATTGAGTGTCTAAGAGGATATACAGGAGTATTTAAGACGCTGTAAGGCATTAGAAGGTAATCTCTAAGGCGCCTGTACCCTAATGGGTAAAGATCTAGTGATTGAAGGCGCTCTTCATAAGGCTTGAATATGAATCCCTGGACTGATTTCTTGACTCGCCGCTGGATACGATCCAAAGTGTCCTTATACTTTTGGAATGAGGGAGGAAATACCATGTTTCCGTACTGTAAATGGGGACGAATAAAACTGTTGAAGATTGTGGGGAAAGTTCTTCCGTCATGCTAACCAAAGATGCGCTTCAATGTCATCAGTGCAAGGTTTACTCGAAAGACATTTTCGTCACAGTTAGCGTAAGACTCCTAAATCTTTTTCAACTTCGGAACTTCTAAAGGGGAGTTGCATAATTTGTAGCTGTAGTCTTTAATATGTCTCAGATGGACTACTTCATACTTTGAAGTGTTTAAGGTAAGTCCGTTGTCATCTGTCCAACTTTGAAGTCGATGCAGATTCTTCTGAAGTGCCAGTTCATCCTTTTGGTTGCTTATTCCTCTCTCTAAAGTTTCACATCATCAGTAAAAGTAATAAATCTGACGATACTTACCGTGGCGTGACGTCAGCGTTCCCCTTGAGATTAAAAATGGTTGTCTATCTGTCCACAGCAGGTTGGTTATACAAGAATGACCCTTCCTGAAACCATGTTGTTGGGGTTGTAGCGATAAATAAATCGCCAAAATAAATAGCTCTGTAAGTTTTCGACATTGGATGCTAACCACATTGGTTTTAGTGAACTCACCTAGCTGAAGGCCCTCGGTCATGTATCCGGACCAGACCATGAATGGGAACGTCGTGCTCAACATCCCCTGCAATCGCTAGCCAGATTAGATCAGACGATCCTCGATGTATTTATAGCCTATCAAATATATCTTCGAACCTCCTCACTTCTGTCTTTTGATTTCACTTGGTTGGTACGATTCATATTAGGTGTTACTGGTTAAAGCGTCGTCAAACTCCGAATACCTGTGGCTCCTTCATTGGTGAGCCTAACGTTATCTGGTACACCAAATGTGAACTGTGAGTCTGTTCCTTTTTGGAATTCTGTATATTATTGCCTGATTTTAATTTTTTATATACTGTGATACTTTTATCCCGTGTTTTTGAAATATATATGTTTTTTCACTCGTTCATTCTCGTACTTGTTATTTCGCCATGACGGAACAGACACCGAAGGTACTTAAGCTAAAGACTATGTCCTCACCTTCGTTTCAACTAATGCCCTTCTGTCCAGACAACATCGACGCCTGGTTCTGCTACGCAGAAGCCGACTTCTACGAGCACTGCGTGAACGACTCATGTGCACAATTCCTCGCAGTAGTCAAGGCACTACTCTGCGAATTTAACATGTACGTAGCAGCTAGTATGTTTACTAGAGATATTTCGTAACCTTACGAAACTCTTAAACGCGGAGACCTAACCGATAGACAAAGATTAGACCAACTCCTTAACAACATCGACCTGCAACACGGTTCTGCGACGGACATGTTGCAACGAATGAGAGAGCTTATCGGCCAAAGAACCTTCGATGATGACCTATTCAAACATTTCTTATCCGAAATTCCTCAACAGATGTAAGCTGTGCTGGTCTCGTTTCAAAACAACGCCGTAGGTGGGGTGCCTGCATCTGCCGACCGCATTTTATAAATCACGAAATCTAATGCCGAGGTTTTTTCAGTCAAAGAAAGGTCTCAAACGACCCAGAATGATATAACTTTGTTATGTCATACACTTAAACGTTGTCTTATATTTCGTAATGACCGTAAACGGTCGCACACCCCACGAAGAAGCACTGCACGTAAGCACCCCGACTGGTGCTGGTATCATAACCAGCATGCAAGATCATCCAGAAATTGTAGAAAACTCTGCAGTCTTCCCAACTCAAAATCGACCGACACGAAAAACAACTCGGGAAACTTCCAATCCGGCACGCGTTAACGGCAACAGTAGCCGGCGAACATGGCCGTCTGTTATACGTCACAGATGTGATAACGAGAGTTCGCTACCTCGTCGATACTGGCGCAGAAGTTAGCGTTCTCCCTGCCAATTCTAACGACCGGCTTCATGAATCGGTGTTAAATCTACAGGCGGCAAATGGAAAGCCTATCGCCACATACGGTAAAAAGCACGTTTACCTCAACGTGGGCTTACGCAAACCCATACACTGGATCTTCGTTGTTGCAGATGTTTCTATGCCAATCATTGGTATAGACCTTCTACAACACCATAATCTGTTCATCGATACGCGCAAACGGAGGCAAGTAGACGGAAACACTAATTTATCTATTTGCGTAACTTCTCTTTCTGGTTGCAGATTATCTCCAGTCACAATTAGGCGTACGATAGACCCATTTTATTAACCACTACTCGATAAGTTTCCTGGGAGACACCAAACGCAACGGAAATGTTCACATGGTCCCTAAAAAACACAGCAACGAATGGCGTCCAACTGGTGAATATCGGCGATTGAATATGAAAACCATTCCCGATCGTTACCCGTTGCCTCACATTCATGATTTGACAGCTACCTTGAAAAGTAAAACTGTCTTTTCGAAAATCGACTTGGTTAAAACGTATAACCAAATCTCTATGGCTACTGACGATATTCCGAAAACAGCTATCATAACTCCTTTCGGACTCTACGAATTCTTGCGAATGCCTTTCGGTCTAAGAAACGCTGCACAAACATTCCAAAGGTTCATAGACGATGTCTTTCGAAATCTCAACTTCATACATGCATATGTTGATGACTGTCTAATAGCAAGTCCGGACAGAAAATCGCATCTCAAGCATCTCGACCATGTTTTCAACCGACTACAAAAACATGACATTACTGTAG